ATAATCCATGATTGAATTTTTTGTAATCCATGATTGAATTTTTTGAAAATTTGTGACTTTTTTTTTTAATCCATGATCGAATTTTTTTTCTTAATCCATGATAGAATTTTTTGAAAATTTGTGATTTTTTTTTTTAATCCATGAGCGAATTTTTTTTTGTAATCCATGATAGAATTTTTTGAAAATTTGTGATTTTTTTTTTTAATCCATGATCGATTTTTTTGAAAATTTGTTAATTTTTTTTTTAATCCATATTATTCAAAGAGAAAATGAGAGAGATGATGATTCTAAGGCCACCTTATCCCAACCATATTATTCACATATCGAGTCCCAACAGCAACAGTGTAAGGATGAGCACGACAGTGCAGGTGAGCATGAAGGATGGACAAGCTTCGGGGATTTTGGATTGGGAACACAACAAAACACTAACACTCAGGGATTTGGGAATAGTCAGACGCCTGCTAGTATCGATGATTCGTTTTTAGATCGAATCAATGAATTGTTAAACGAATTCAATCAATGGCACCAGCGTGACCAAGAAGAACAATAACGTCATCTATCATTTTATTTTTAGATCATATGTTACTAATTTAATGCTTTATTGTAGTCCATGTATGTTGATATACTTATTCCATGATAATTCTATGTTTATCTTTTTGTGTGATGTAAATTAAATGCTGAATGGCGGTTCATGCAAGGAAAGAACATATCACAATATTCGCATATTCATTCAAAAACATGAAAATTCTTAATGGAGCACCCTCATTTCTTATTGAATTCCTAAAAAACAATATTTATTATGAATTTTAATAAATTTTTCGGATTTTTTTTAAGCTTTATTCTGATCGATTCACCCGATTTCCTATCGGGATCGCCGATTCGTCGATCCGGATCGGTTTTTTGGGTGCCCGATCCGGGTCACCGATCCGTTTTTTAAACTATTGGGCGCACCTATTAAAAAATATTAAAAATAATTTTTTGATAAAATATAGTGACTACAACATCTTTTGAATCTTTCATGGGTATTTTGGTTATTTTATTTTATTAGAAATTTTTTTTTATATTTTTCGTTAGTACAAGTTTAATAGATGATTGGACGTCCAAAATTTGATATCAAAATAGTTTATAGAAAAAAATAAAAATAAAATAATATAAAGATACGATATTATGATTGAGACAATCTTAATCCTCTATTCAGAATGGATGGTTGGATAAGGGGACGTATAGAAGTTTTATTATGGGGAAGCATAAAAATCTCGCCCATCTTATATATTTAAAAAATATAAAATCAAAATACAATATATGGAGCTCAACACAAGGTCAAAAGGGAGAAGCTTGTGCTATTAAGAGCCGTGAGCTAACCACGTGGCAACAAGCCGATGGCGAAGCCAATATGTAGATGAAATTTCCAGAGAGGGAGAGGATGAGCATTTATAAATAACCATTAAGAAGTGCGTCGTGGTTCATTTAAGGTGCGATCGTTCATCTCACTCTTCATCCTCATACTGTCACCCGAGGTCAGTATTTTGTACATTATGCACTGTCTGGTCGAATTTCAAGCATTTAAGATTTTATGCTTGAATTTATTGAATTCAATGCCTTTTCATGGTCGTCAGAGAATAAATTTAAAATAAACTTACTTCCTTTTGTTGGTTAATGATGTAATTTTTATTTAACAAAAGCTAAAAGCATCTGATAGGGCAAGCAATATTGGAATATGAATCGGGCTTTTCACCTGACTCGGAGACTCGTTTTCTAGTAATCATTCCATCTTTTTCTTCTCTTGTTACCAGATTATAATTATGCTAGCCTTTATTAAGATAAAATTTTGATTCATCAAATTGAAAATCCGGTCCTGTTAATAATCATTTTGATTTATTTGTTTGGGGGGTAAACGTTTAGATTTCACTGCCCTAACTACCCAGCAGCTCTTTAATGGCCTTTATGACTCTTTGGGCAATGTTATTGGAACTATGCTAGCCACTGAATGGATAATAGGTTTGGTCCTGGTTGAAAACGAGAATACGAGTTTAAAAGTGTGAAATATATTAAAAACCAAGTCACCGAACTTTGGTGGATCTAATAGTTCGAAACTGGCCAATCTAACCGGCCAAGCCAGTCAAAAATGGGTTTTAACATTAACTAAATTTGATTGTTGCTTTTGACGGCCAAATACACGAGCCAGCCGTTCAACAATTCGGACCTGTCGATACAGTCCGGTCTCGATAACTAAAGTTTTGAGACATGGGTTTGAACGCTTCACTTTCCCACTAAACCAATATGTCTCCCACTGAGCTAAAGCTTACTCAAGTGAGTTTACCTTGGCAGGCTAGTTTAAGCCTTAAGTTGGTTTGTCAGGGTGTTTGTTAGAGTCATATTAAGCCTTAAAGTATGCTGGGTTAGCTTACTGAGGCAATAGGACCCACTTATCTTTTCTACTTTAAAACCTTCCTAAAGTCATTTCATTCATTTGTTCATAACCCATGTTGAGAAATTACACATATGGGGATCGAGATATTGTTGCATTCAATTTTCAGTGGAGGCACAGACTTTTAGTTGTGAGGACAAGGAATTAAGGGTTGAGTTTTGTTCAGTAAAGTGGATGAATAAAGGTGATATTCCTTTCAAATCCCTTAACTGCTTATTTGTTTATTTATTTTAAGGTTATGAAAGGAAATTTGGAGGCTTGGTACATGGAAGAAAGTGAGGAGGACCAAAGGCTTCCTCACCACTACCACCCACCCCAATATATTTCCCTTGACAAGCTTGCAGGTATTTTTCAAAGTTGATACTCTATTGTGAATATATTATTAATTAAAGATCAACAAAATCATTCTTATAAAATGAACAATTTTTAGACCACGCTCAAATGAATGCTCATGTAATCTCTCTTTGGACATTAGAACTTGGGGTTTTATACTGGCACTTGAATCCACATTGTTACGAAAATGATGAGGAATTGCAAAAGATTCGAGAGAGCAGAGGATACAACTACATGGTATGTTCTCTCTCTATCTCATCTAATTTTCCAAAGATAAAGGAAACAAAAAGAAGATACAAAGACTCCAATATTTAGTTCAATTGGCAAAGTGCTAAGAAAATGCTCAAAGCACCTCAGAAAATCAATAAGGTAGTTAAACCAGCCACTTTGCTAACAGGGTAGCTATTTTAATTGAAATTATTGAGTAGAAATCTTTGGGATTGAACCCTTTTGTTGATAGAGTTGTTGATGTAAGCACCTCATTTATTTTTTGTGTTGGCTTGTCAATGATATTTTCCTTAGAACTTTTCTTTGTGATTCTATAACTTGTTAATTTGTTATTCTTTGGGTTATTTAGGATTTGCTAGATCTATGCCCTGGTAAGGTGGAGAATTATGAGGAAAAGCTAAGGAACTTTTTCCGGGAGCATATCCATGCCGATGAAGAGATAAGGTATTGCCTACAGGGCAGTGGTTACTTCGATGTGAGGGATAAAGATGACCGTTGGATTCGCATATGGATTAAGGCTGGGGATATGATTGTTTTGCCAGCAGGAATCTACCATCGCTTCACACTAGACACCGGGAACTACGTCAAGGTAAGAAGAAATTTACTAATACTAGTAATTTTGTTCTTGCGACATGTGTATACACCTTAACCGCTTAATATAAGCAATATGGATAGTCAAAAATAAATAAATTGTTCTGATCTATGGAAGAGAGTAGGTTGGTCATGTTAGAAGAGAATGGCGTGTTCAAGGCATCAAATGGGGTTTTGAATGATTACCCTTTGATGAGTACCACATGGTCAGCAGTATTAGGACAATGCAAAATCGATGAGAGTTGGCAAAATGATAGCTATGCTTATTGTGTAATACTTCATGACAAAAATTGTCCCAATTCAAGTGGCATGGGCACAATTGTATTAAGAGTGCTTTGACCAAATCCTTTTTGTTTCGTTCCGAATATCGAAACTATTCATTAGTTTAACTAAGTTACCATAAGGACTTTTTCCTTTCCAAAGTTTTATTTTTTAGGAAAAGAATTTTTTGTGCATCCTGGGATGCATGTGTCTGCCCTTTGTGGCTGATTTAGGGCTCGAAACACTGCCCAAATCTTTGCAAACCCATTTTCTTTTTTTGACTCATGAGCTTGGAGCTCCAAAAATAATGTAAGTCTTATGATCTAATGCAAATATCATTTAAGGGGTCATAACCCATTGCAAAATCATTTAGGGTGATGAAACATCTCCATTAACATCAGAGGATTACTCTTAAATTTTTGTTTCACTTGGATACCTCCTAATTTTTTTTCTCAAAAGTACCCAAATTGCTCTTGTTTAAGGTTCTCAAGTAAGGGCATTCAAGTAATTTGACCCCTTGAAAAGGCTCCAACTAAATGGCTGGAATACGCCTGCTTGTTCAGGGTGAGTAAAATTACTGAGATATTTTTTATTGTTCAGTTTTTCCCAACCCTACGATTTAGGTATTTTTGAAGATATTTTTGAGCAGGTACTTGAATGAAATTAAAATTAAGAAGTAATCTCTATAATGTTAATTGCAAAATTTTGGCCTCAATAATTTATAAGGGGTTTTTGACCTTGTAGATGATATTTTCCCTGTGATCTATAAAGAATGGAAATGAACAGTCCAACACATAGGTACTAGATAGAGCATTTTTACAGATAAAAAATCCTTTTTTTTTGCCCCTCATATTGATTTTTGTAAAGGTTGAGATAATGGATTTGTAGAATTTTGGATTTCCAATGTACATCCGATGGGCTTGCGTCAAGGGACCGTAGAAGCATGTGATCGCACCCCTTTTTATATATGTGCGTGTATGTAAAGTAACATAGGAAATTTATCAAAATACCTGAGCAATGCACTATTTGGCATTTTACACTTTTGACACTATTCCAGCTTATGATCACGGGTCTTTTTAAGGGTATTTTGAAATTGAATCAAACAATATGATTACAATATTAAATAGTTCATCTCACATGGGTATTTTGATAATTTTCCCAAATAAAATTAGCTCCGTGAAACTCAAATGTGTTATCGGGTATCATGATCTCCAAGCCTAATCCTAAGGAACCATGATTTCCAACCTCGAGTGGGCATTCCATTGATGCATTTGCATGTGTTCGTGTAATTAAAATTACCCCTCAAATTTTTTTTTCTCGATGGAAAATACCATGCCTCCATCTAATCTATGCATTGGGAAAATATGATATGATCCACCTAGAACCTTGTGGTTTATCACCATTCATCCAATCAGTCGGACAGTGGTGGAGAGTAGGGATGTAAATGCAATTAATGAATTGTCAAGTGGGATCCACTTCCATCTATCAACGTCCAACCCATTGTAGGAATGGTGACAACCTTCATGATCATGTTGTTTATATGTACCATATGCATTTGTGTGTGGATATCGAAGATTGTGGCATCTATGCATATTTGTCCATATTTTGGGTGGCTTTATGTCTAGGGCTAGTTGGGTTTTGTCGACTCGCCGACCCAACAGGTAAACTCGACACGAGTCTAGGTATGAACCCAAATATTGTACCAGATGGGTCAGGTCCAGGTGCAAGTCTTAATGACTAGACCTGACTTGGGTCTTGGTCCATTTTGGAACTCATTGGGTCGGCTGTGGTCAAGGTCAACCCAACCCGACCCGATCTTACAGGATATTTGCTATGTATATCCACAATAAATATTTATAATTAAGTTATTATTCTTTTATGTGGATCTGGACCTTACCCGACCCCTGGGATCCGGACCCAACATGGGTCTAGGGCCACAGGTCTAGGTCCAGGTCCAGGTCCAGCTAGGACCCATACCCGACCCAACCCATAAACAAAAACTTAATTTGTACAACATCCCTTTCTATCTCATCAAAAACTTCATTTGTGCAGTTGATGAGGTTATTTGTTGGTGAGCCAGTTTGGACTCCTTTCAACCGGCCGCAAGAGGATCATCCTTCTAGAAAGGAGTATGTGAAGAATTTGTTCAACAAGGCTGGCACAGCTGTGGAGGCGCATTAGTTTATTTCACATACCATGTAATTTCTCACAGGGTGGTATCTTCATACATATCTTATCAAAAATATTTGTAGGTTATGGAGTTAGGAAGGGTGTATCTTGGTTACTGTAATATGAAGTCCTATATTTGAGTGGATGTTTATCATGCGTCTATGTTATCATATCAATGCATATGTGAGTTTTAGCTTGTTTTGAATTTGGTGCGAAAAGAATGTGCGCTTCCGTTCTTTGCCTATTTTAATTTAAAGAACGAAGGAAGGAATTGCATGCAGTGTTTTTCATTGGGTTGCATTTCCTATGAGCTTAGCCTGCAGGTTTTGATCGTCAATAAAGCGAAGCCTGCAAGTTTTGACTGCAGTTTGATTGTCATTTGAGCGCAAGCTTGGTAGTTGAGCCTGCGAGTTTTGACTGCAGTTTGATTTGTCATTTGAGCACAAGCTTGCGAGTTTTGACTGTAGTTGGTTTTGAATGTCAATTGAGCACACTGAATTTTGACAATCAAATGAAAAGTAACTCACAATTCACAAGTGAGACCATCAAAGGAGCAAAGTTGAACGCTTATTAAGAAAAGGCTTCACAGAAATTGACCATGCATACGACTTGAACATGTAAAGTTGGCCACCTATAAGGTTCAAACTGAGGGTTAGAGACTCGGAAACCTTCATAAGATTGACCCTATAACTTTGCAGTTTGGGTGATTTTGTCACTGCAAAAATGGGGTGGAGCATTTTGCATGCATATATACAGTTGCCATGATGCAGTGATGAAGAGATTCCAAAAGGAAATAAGATATCTGGGAGACCAAATTCCTATCACGGGCGGCTAGAATCACATTACTCAAGTCCACATTGGCAAGTCTTCACATGTACTTCCTATCCCCATTTAGAATTTATGTTTCTATGGCCAATGCACTTGAACCCCTAATAACAACATTCCTTTGGGGAATGATCAAACAACCTCCAAAAGATGGCAAAAGGCAAGAGGGCCAAGCAACGAGCAAAGCCGGTGGGAAGGCAAGCAATAAGCAAAGCCAAGCCAAGGGTAGCAAGGTCAAACTATTGGTTGAGAGTGCTTTGCAATATGTGTACCCAACATAGTTCGGTGGACAATGTACTTGAAGACCAAAGCTGATGAATGAAGAATTCCTCGCCAAATGTTAATGGAAGCATGCGATGCAATCTCTTGCGGGAGATAGTCATAAAGACATATCGAGAAGACCAGAAAAGTTGATTGGCGAGGAAAGTTGGGTCTCGATTAGGCATATCAACCAGTTGGAGGGTTATAAACATTTCCCAACTGTTGCTTTGTAGATATTGCTGCTTCTCAAGAGGGAGATGGCAGCTCAGGTTCGCTTTTATTTGGATAAGTCGATAGAAGATCGGCCAGTCAGCTTTCAATATCATGGGGTGTTGTAGAACCTAAGAGTGGTCCATTCAACTAAAATAAAGGAAGCTAAGTGACTTGGGAGTTGTGGAATATTCTGTGACATCTTGAGCAACATCAATCCTTTTAATGCCCCACCAAAAAGGACTCCCTCATCTAAGAATCGAGCCTCGTAGTGATATTCATAGTAAGTCCGGTCTATAGATCGCTTTACAGTGACAACCCATGCAAAAGCTTGGGTTTTGTGTGGGAGTATGAAAATCCCATACTGGTAAGCCTTTTATAGTGGACCATTTCAGATAGTGAGGCCTAACAAAACAAACGTGTGGCTGTTATGTAAGGCAATAGAGGAATTATTTAGCTACACATTCCTGCATTGATCTTTTACTTACACAATGTAGTATCAGGTTTTTGCCTTGTTTGGTGTACAGACATTATTGTCATTAGAAACTTCTCTCAATTATTTGGGAGTGGCTACATGAATCCCAGTCCACCATTCTACTCTATCAAGAAACATACCTTTAGTGAGACATCCTATTCCCTTATGTACAATAGGTAGAAATCAAATATCAAATAACGGGAAACAACCATGGCAGAGCCTAAGTTGAATTTTGACAATAGCTCCACTAGGAACTTGGATATGTTGATAGAGAAGTATTTGGAGATTGTTCAGGAATGTACATCCTCGCCCGTTAAGGCTAAGTGCATTAGCGTTTATGGATGAGGTTTCCAACACCTGCCTCACTATTTCAAAGACTTCGAAATTTTCATATGAAAGAGTTCTTATAAGGTGTCAACCTTTTACTATAGAAGTGACATGCACCTCAAAAAACCTTTAAGAAAAGGTTGTTTTGAATTTAGAAAATCCTCCAATAGATTATATCAGTGTAAGAAAAATCAAACCGGAACGGTTAACCAGATATAGGGCTGGAAGTGGTTCAACCGGCCGGTTCAATCGGCTTAACTGTAAAAAATGTGTTAAACAAATACAAAATAATCTGATAAAACATAAAAAATATATTTAAAATATGATTAAATAAAGTACATCCATATGAAGTTGAAAATTAATTTAAAAAGAAAAAGAAAAAGAAGGATTTCAATCAATCGATTTGGGCCTAGGTTATCTTTGAAAATTTTCAAAAAAGATGGGGAAAATGTAACAATAAGTTTCAATGGCCAAAACAATTTCCAATGTTTGCCAAAATGATAAAAAAACATTAAAAAATAAATTACAAACAAAATCCTGTTTTTTTGGGGATTTTATATATTTTTTAAATACCTAGCCGGTTCACCAAAACGGTCGAAACCAAAACCGACTAGTGGCCGATTCTGATTAACCGGTCGATTTTTCCTATGATGGATTATATCGACGTATATAGATACAAAAAAGGAGGAATCTAAGCTTTAAAATAGTGTATCTTATAATACATTATTTGGACCATCCATTTTTAAGATTTTCAAGTGTTTATAGATTTGCTTGATCCGCATCTTTTTTGGAGTTTTAAATTTCATAAATAAAGATAGAAACAAATTTTTTTGTTCGACAGTGAGTTTTTTACACGGCAGTACATTTTTTAATAAGGTGTGGAGATGCACAATACTTTGATTGTTTAACTGGGCAGCTAATACAAACCTCACCTATTTTTATAATGTCTTCATTGGCAATTTTGTATCGCCCAATACACTTGCTCATGAAATTTGTCGGGGAACATCCGGTATGTGTGAAAATACTTCTGTAAAAGCATTTTTATGTGAAAAAACTCCTTCATGTTATTAGGTGTTGGAGTTTTTTCTCACCAATTAATCCCAACACATTTTTTCATATGAATTGGCAGTTATTTGATGTGAAATAACTCCACACCAAATTACATTAAAGAGTTTTTTCACATCAAAATACTTTCATAGAAGCATTTTCAAGCGTACCACGAGACTAAAAAGTTATCAAAAAGTTACACATTAACATTGTAAAAAGAGTAAAATCAGAAAAAACATTAACGAGAGACTAAAAATGAAAATAAAGAGAAGAGGGAGAAAGAATCGATATCTTGTAAACTCTCAAGTAGGAAAATTATGGCGCTAACCTAATTTTTTGTGGCGCTAACCTCATGTGTGATGTGTAAACGAAGAAAGTTGAAACTCCAGACGTGTAAAGCCAACAGAATATAGAATACAAATTCAACACCCAGTTTTTCCAAACGCCCCGCGATTCGTGGCTTACTTATTCAAATTTTATTCTCAATTTGACTATGTGAGTGCTCTTCTTGAGGTGAACCCGATGCCTACAGCTGTAGTCACAAACAATTGTGGTCAATGGTTGATGATTTTCCCTAAACCACAGGTATATGACTCCATAAGATAATTTTAAGTACAAAATCAATTAGGGGAAGAAGAGTGAGTGGAATATTAATATACTAGAGGGAGGGAGGTAGGTAAAAGAGAGAATTAGCTCTTCATATAAAAAGATATGCCCCTTGCACATGAGGATACTATCTATTTGCTCCCTCATTTAAAATTTAGGTAAAAAGTATTTTATGGAATTCAAGTTTTGGAGGTCTAACCTCTTGAACCGACCAATCTCAAAAAAAAATAAAAATAAAATCATACATACTATGTATTTGCAAAAATTATCGTCTCTAAACTCCACAAGGAAAAGCTAATTTTTGGAGAGCAAGATTTAAGTGTTGAAAACTCAAATCTTTTTTTTCCCTTTGAAAATAAAGCCAACAACCCAGGTTGAATCTGAGCCGATCTGACACTCATGACCTCATTTCGTTATATAATTATAACATTTTTAATAATTTTAGACGTTCGTTCTTCTCATCAAAGCTCACTAATAAAAAAAATTAAAAATAATAATTCGTAAAAAATAAATTAACCAAAATACGTTTAAAATATTTCAGAGGTATTTTGATCAATTTATTTTTTTGTGAGTTATTTTTTTGATATTTTTAATAGAATCTACTATTTATAAAGAATAGAACTCTAAATTTCAAGTGATTTGAATTTATAGAAAAAAATTAAAATCTAAATATAAAATATAATCGTGATCATTGGATCGACCCAAATTTAATCTGAATCATTGAGAATACTCTATTTCATCAACCCAATTTAGCTTTTCCCTTAAAACAAAAAAAAATTACCCTAGGGAGTTAATATACAGTGTGCTCCTGTGGGAACATGAAACACGCACGTTGATCATTTATGGAGTGACTATTAATTGAGGCGACAAATGAAAGGCGTCTTTAATTTGTGGATGGGAGTTGGGGCGATTCGCTTGTACAAATGAGTCACGCTGCTTTCTTGCTTTAGGTGGAAGAGAGATTCTCAGAGCTAAATTTATAATATTAATTTAAGTCTAAGCTAAAAATAGATTAATAAGATAAGTCCAAGGCTCTTTTTCCGACTTTTGCAAAAAAATGGGCATGCCTTTTTCTCTAATTTAGTTTTGCATTTTGCTCCCGCGGGAGCACACTATACCGCCCCTTTTTACATCTAGACTTTTTAGGTCCGTCCGTCCCTTCTGCTATATAAATGGGGTCGGCTCGGACCATAAGGAGAGAATAAGAACTGTGCAAGGCTGCCTCTGGTCTCCAAACCATATTCAGAAATGGCGTCTTCAAACAAGGTATGCTTCATCCATCAATATGGAGGCCTCCTCCAAATTTCGATATTTTTCTTTTTCAATCCTCTTTTTCCTCGTTTTTGGCGTTTCTTCTTCCACTGCTTTTGATCTTATTTGTAAAGAAATTGTGTTCATAGTTTTCTTTTGATCCTGGTTTTGTATTTTCATCAAATTAGAGTATATATGTTCTGGAGAACAAGGGTTTTTTCGGTTCCAAATTTAAGGGATTCTCTTGTTTGCGCTATCTAAAGCCATGGGGAAAATATTTGGGCAATTTGAAAGGGAGGTCTTGAATATCATTGAAATTGTATTCCTGGGTATTTGTATTTTCTGGATGGCATTGAAGTGCATCAATTGATTTGTGCAATATTGATAAAACTTAAGTCTTACTTGTGATCAGTTTGAGCCATGGGTTCAGGGTTTTGGGTTACATTTGAAAGTCTCTTCTTGTGATCGGTTTGAGTCATGCGTTCAGGGTTTTGGTATGAATTTCAAAGTCTTTACTTGAGATCAGTATGATCCCTGGCTTCAGGGTTTTGGGTTACATCTGAAACTTTGGAGATGTTGTGAAATGGGGCAATTCAGCATGAACGTGTTGATATTTTTCTTTATTTACTATTTGCTGAGTTTTTTGTTCATCAGCAAAGGTTTATAAAACCATACTCGGGCCCTGCCCAAGCTGAGTAATTAGGGCGCCTGAATAATGTACCAGGCAAAAAAAGCCCCAAAAAATAAAGTAAGAATAGAAAAATAAAACTAAACTAAAAATCCAAATAAGATGGAAAAAACCTATAAAAAATTGATCTAAAATTCCATATATAGCTGGAGACATTTCGGAAATATGAAGAATTTATAGCTGGAGACATTTATACACTAATCTTACAATTTATCATGATTTTTTTCATTTTTTTCATTTTTTTAATATCTTGGAGCGGCCTGTATCAGAATATAAGCCTTCAGACTATTATTATACCAAGAATACTTGTTGCTTGCACGAAGGTTCATCACAAAGGGTTTGGGATGGGGTTTCTGGCTGGTTATATGCTTGGTAAAGTACCGATATGGAATCAATATGTGGCAGTTTAAAAGATCACATTCTTTTGTTGGTTAGTTGTATGTTGTAATGAAGAATTATCAAAATATTATTTCTAATGCAAAATTTTTACCTCATTAGTGTGGCGAGTTGGACAAGGAGTCCTAGTATTGTGTTTTGTGGGTGTTATGCTTTGTCAAATTCCGTTCATTATTTTGTGCCTGTTGGGGAGTGAGGGGTTGTTATCTGGCTGAATTTTCTAGTTTGATCAACAGGCTTAGAATAGTTTCAAGAGTGTATTTGGAGCTCTCTCTCTCTCTCTCTCTCTACT